GAAGATATTGATAACGAACCCTGAGGCCTTCCTGGTGGCGGATATCTCTTCGGGTGATGGTGGGCAGGGCGCTTCTGTAGTATCCGGGTATTTAATATGTTGGGTGCACGTCGGGAGTATGCTCCTGGTACCACGCAGGCCAGTCCCTATGGGCGGCGATGCGTTCAAATGCCCTCATATTCACCCCATCGGGAAAATAAAATGGCTTTATTGTCATCAATAGCTTCACGTTCTTCTTTCCCACCAAGTGTTACATGCCAAAATTGTCAAGTCAGGCACAAGTGACCTCAGGAGAGTATAATAAAAGAAATTATTTAGCTATTTACTCGAGGTTCCATTGGGGCAGCACATCTAACGATAAAGGCAAGCGACATCAAGGGTACAAAGTATTGCTAAGTTGAAGTAAAAAAAAAATTAAATGATCCCATCTGTTTGTGCTGGCGCCAACCCCGCGCACAGATGTATACAGCCTTGTTGGGTTTTGCAAGGCTCCTTTGCTCTCTCCTTATTCAAGCTTGACTTACTTTGTCTCCAATACCAACACCATGTCCTTGACGAACGTCTTGAAACCCCCAGTCCATCAGGCCTTGAAGCAGCTGGATCGCACGCTTTTTCACCGGTCCTTGCCCGTCGTGGCGGCTCGGGTACCAACCAAGTCATTGGGAATCCTCTTGAAGAGCCTATCCAAGTAAGTACACACTCTCATCTCTTGGCTTACTCATCACTGTACCTTACTGAACGGATTATTTAGGGATTTACTAAACATCCCGCGGATGCGCAACATTGCTGAAGATGGGGACTCCAAAACCACTCGGCTCCTTCTTTTTCGTCGAGACATCCATGCAGCTAGTAAGTGCGTCTTGCTTGAGCTGGACAAGGTCGCGAGGCAAGCCCTTGTAGGTACTGGGAGGATATACCATCTCTCACGCCTTACTCTGCCCAATAGACGAGCTAAGCGAAGGGGTTCAAGAAAGCATCAAGGCAGTGGGAGGCCAGTACCTTTCTCATACGGTTAATCTGGATTATCCTTTTTGGTCAGCAGGTAAACGGTGTAGCCGGAAGACTCGCTCTTTATCAGTATTTCCGAGGAAAGACAGCCTCATCCTAATAATACCTCATTGTCATCCTTTTCTGTACAGAGGACATTCTTCGATCCATTCTACCCGAGGAAGTGGAAGTTCCGACCTCCTTTGAGACCATTGGTCATATAGGTAAGTGACATGAAGGTCAATTGATACAAATGGTAATCGCATCTTCTCTTACCCGCTGTCCCTTCTCTTACCCCCTCTCCCTAGCTCACATGAACCTTCGAGATGAACATTACCCTTACAAAAGTATCATTGGCCAAGTCATTTTGGATGTAAGATGCTCAATGATGGACAATCTGAGAGGAAAGGACTCCTCATTGTAACCCCCTAATTAATAATCTTATTTGGTCTAATTGAACGATTAAAGAAAAATGTTCGTATCCGCACGGTGGTCAACAAAACTGATAACATTGACACAACCTTTCGCTTCTTCAAGATGGAGGTACTGGCTGGGGATGATGACATGATTGCCGAGGTGGTAAGTAAAATTATATGCTTTTTTTCGTCTAGCGGCTAACCTTCACATTCCCCTCTCTACAATCAGAAAGAAAGTGGATGTCGGTTCCGGATGGACTTTTCCAGCGTGTATTGGAATTCTCGATTGCACACGGAGCATGATCGAATGGTCAAGCAGTTTGAAGCTGGTCACCGGATTTGTGATGTCTTTGCAGGGATCGGGCCATTTGCCATCCCGGCTGCCCGAAAGGGCTGCATTGTTCATGCTAATGATCTAAACCCAATGTCTTACAAGTACCTCAAAGAGAATACTGATCTAAATAAGGTACCTAAGAATCGTCTAGTCCCGTATAACCTGGATGGTCGCGAGTTCATCCGTAAGGCCTTCCTCGATGCTACGCCGGATGCCTCAAATAGGATTACTTTTGACCATGTGGTAATGAACCTCCCTGCCATCGCCACTGAATTTCTTGGTAAGTCTTATCTAGTTCTCTCAAGTGCACCCCCTTATCCATGATTAGATTCTTAACCCTCCCTTCGGACGCATAGATGCTTTCAATGGTCTACTCAAAGATCAGTCCCCCCTTCCCATGGACTCCCCCATGCCATGGGTACACTGTCATTGCTTTGCCAAGCGGCAGGAAGATGGCCCCCTGGGCGATGTTACCGAGGTACGAGGGATAAATCGGTGCATTGTGGAGGCCTTTTCAGGGCAGTAGGTCCAATGGGCCCCATACTCATATCCCATCATACCCCCAGAGGATTTCCACTAGCTTGGGTCATCCCATAACCCAAAAGGACATCAATCTTCACTACGTTCGCAGTGTTGCTCCCAATAAGGATATGTACTGCGCTTCATTTCGCCTTACCCGGGAAATACTTTATCATGGATCCATGTAAGGGCTCTCCTTATCTCCAAGATATGGACATGTCTTCACTCACAATCATCCATACTATAGACCGTTAGAGGGAGCAGGAAAACGCAAGGAAACCAATCAAGGAGAGGAAAACCATGTGGCCAAGCAGCTTAAACTTGAATAGTGGACTCTGGTCACTCCGACAATAAAAAATCCCTTGACTTTACTCTGTCATTCAACTGCATTGCACGTTCCCATCCCATACCCACCATACTTCTACCCATCCTTCTCATCTCATTTCTTACCTCCCATCCCGTCCAGCACAAACATTCCACCAATCCATCACGTTCACACACGCATATCATAACGTTGCTATCTAGGCTTCCGCCTCGCTGGCTTCCTCATTCACAGGCACCTCCGACGAGGGAAGGCGGTAGAGGCGGATGACCTGCCTGTTGGGATCCTTGACAAGGATGTACTTGCCATCGTCGAGCTGGAGACACAAGTCGACGATGGTCTTAGCAACACCCCAGCCATTGGAGACGGATAGGTTCATCTGGGTGGCAAGATCACGAGGCTTAAAGGTCTGCATACCGAGGATGGTATGCTTGGAGGCATCAGAGGGAGAGACACGGGAGACATAGCCAAATTTGAGTTGATCAGCTCCAGAGAGGATACCCTGGATGGCCCACCGGGCAAACTTCACACCGTTGTTCTTAAACTCAGTAGCCAGAACGGCACCACGCTGGCCATCCAGTTTACTGCGCCAATCCAGGGCATTGCCGGAGCCAACCGCCTTGGGGTCGAATTCATTAAGGGCCTTGACGATGACGTAGGCAGTATTACCGGAGGAGGTACGGGAGATGGCATCAATCTCAGCACGCACAATGAGTTGGCAATCTTCCTCCTCGCCGTTGGCGAGGTCAAAGGACCGATAGCGGTAGCCGACGGAGGCGACAGGAATGTCAGCGTCCTGTTCAGAGTAAAAGGGGTGAGGGTGCTCGAGATCGAGGGCTCCACCATCCTCCCCAGTTTCCTTGAGAACTTGGGTGGCGAGGAACTCATTGATGGCCGTTGCCTCGGATGAAAGGCCATTGACAGCATTGAGACTATCACCGTCAGCGGGGGCATCATGGGCGTTCTCGTTGACGTGAACGGCGTCGAAAATCCCTTGGTCATCGCGTTTGTCGAGGAAGAGTTTGCCATTCTCGCGGGTAATAACAATGTCCCAGGGATAGACAGAGCGACTGGAGGACATAAGAACGGAGAGGATGGAATCAGTGACAAAGACCTTGCCCTTGCCCTCCTTGGCCAAGCCCTGGATGATGGGATCCTCGGAGGTGGTGACATTGTACCTGGCGCGATCCCTGCGCTGCAGAGGCCTCTCAAGACGAGTGGTGACCCGGTCAAAAGTACGATCGTAGGGGAGGAGACGACCGTGGGTGGAAATGTCTTCACCTTCCGCAACATCGAAAGCCAGCTTGTTCAGGCGGCTATACTCGATCTCCTCCAGGAGATCCCAATCGACGCCCACCTTAATGGAGGGGTTACGGGTCCGCTGTTGCCGATCCCTCCAGCCTCCACGACCACCGCCCCCACGGCCACCGTAGTGCCCGCCACCGCGGGCACTCTGACTAGGTGCTCCACCGGCCGTCTTTTGGTTGGACCCACCGCCCAATCTCTGGAATCCGCCACGACCACCACCGCGACCACCACGTCCCTAACAATCAGGAAAGGATAGAGATGGAGAAGTCAGTAGGATTACCAGGAGCAGGAAGGAAAAAACCAAAGAGATCACCACGACTTACCCGAGTACCCGAGGCATGAGTCCTCCGGACAGGGGCAGAGCGATCGACGACGGAAAAGGAGGATTCATCCTCCTCAGGCTGATAAAGAAAGGTACTAGAAGCGCCAGATCCGTAAGCCTGAGGGGCATCCCGGTGACGGTTTTGACGACCGCGGTTACCGCCGCGCTGGTTATCCTCACGGTTCTCGGGCTGAGTCCAGTCGGCGACGCGGCCAAGCTTGTCAGATTTACTGAAGGGTGCGTAGGGAACGCCCTGGAATTGGGTGGGGAGGAGGGAGGCTGCTGGACCCCAGCCATCAGTGTGATCGTTCACCTGAGGAAGCTGGAAACGAGGCTTATCCTGCTGGGAATCTGAAGAGGGCATACTGTCAGAATGTAGGAGGGGGAAAGAGGTGAAAGGAGAAAAAAGAGAGGGCGGAAGTGGTGGAGCGGTGTCCAGATGGCAAGGGAGTGGCGAGCACAGCTATAGATGGTAAGGTGTGGGCAGAGGGGTTTCGATAGGAGCACCTATCTCTCCCCCTCTCAAGTGAGAAAGAACCCAGAGCTTCAAAGGACAGAAAAAAACACCTCCCAAGTCCCACAATTGGGCGGGGAAAAATGATGATATTTTCGAGGAATTAAGATGAGTTTTATGGATGGTATGGCCGTGAAGTAGTGGAAACAAGCATTGTTCTCAAGCTCTAATATTATGAAGACAATATAAACCACATAGCACCCTTAAACAGCGCACGGCATCAAAAATCGAAAAATACTGGTTGTTTTGAGTAAGATTACCAAAAATATTTAAAATATGACAAGATGGCCGAGTGGTTAAGGCGTGTGACTAGAAATCACATGGGTTCATCCCGCGTAGGTTCAAATCCTGCTCTTGTCGATATATATTTTGCTTTTGCTTGCTAAATGATTCAAGCAAGCGGCAAGGGAAAGTAAATGGGCATTCAGGCAGCAAGGCAAAGATCGGCAAAACAAGGATTTATATAACGACGTCCATCACCCCAACCATCCACACAGATAGATCAATGCACGAGATCCCTTAAGCCACTTCCCCGCCTAGCCACCGAATAACCCGGTTGCCACGGACACCCACCGCTCGAACAGTCTGCTCGGTGACCATCTCCTGGATGGCTTGTTCAATCTCCCGGACGCCCATACCCACTTGACCTTGATCGTTGATCTCTTGGACAAGATGGCGGAAGGGGACCGATCCTCGGGAACGAACAAGCTCCCGAAGCTGTCCCTTAAGGACGACGAGACGTTCGCGCATAGCCGAGCCCATTCCAGTGGTAAGAAGGTCCATGTCAATAAGACCCGTATCGGGTTGGATGGCAGCCTTCTGCATGGCAGAAATAAGCAGCCTCTTGGCCTCAGAGACGTCCAGTTCAGTAACTTCAGGAGATAGATGCAAACGGGCATGGGCCTCGGAGAGACGGATGAGAGACTCAAGCTGACGAGGCGTAGCACTGACTCGTTGGCCTCCGCCTTCCCGACGCAGGGTGACATAGGCATCAACAAGAGCTTCTCCGGCCGCAGAGGTCAAAATGGGGTTACAAGCAGTGCGAGCATATTGAATGTACCTGGCCAGAGAAGGACGATCAATGAGGGCCTGGGCCCCCTGAGCAGGAGAGGGGGAGGGATCATCTTCGAGGTAAAGGGAGACGAGGTGACGGGCGAGATTTCTGTCAAATTCAGGCTCCACTCGATCGAGAAGGATGTAAAGGAGATCAAACCGGGAGAGAAGGGTCGGGGG